TGTTTTTGCGAATACTATTAACATAAGCAACATAGTCATTTTTTTGTTTTGACTAACATATTTACATTATTCGGAAGCCAAGTTAAAATTTTTACTAACCAGTTATTGAAATTACAAAAACAAAAGCCATCGTTGAGGCGGTGGGGCATACGGACACCGGGAGTATTTGGTATGAATCTCTTTATTTTCATTACATTTTTTTTATAAACATGTTATTTGGCATTATAGGTTTCTGCGATAATAAAAATACTACATGTATACATACAGGGTGATTTTTTATCATAGGCCACCTAATATCTCATAGGATCGGCCATGTCCACATTACTCCATGTTTGCGTGACTTCACAATAACATGGTATTTGCGGGTAGTTTTATTTTGCCAAATGTAAATAGACAAAAAAGTCAAACTAATATTGACAATACGAATAGCAGTATTAGCCGCGCTTAGTGCACAGCCTACAATATCACTGAGAGCCGTTTCAGGTACCTACTAAAAAAATATTTAAGAAAAGTGAAACATTAGTTATTTAATATTTTCATTAAGGAAATGTTAGGGTTAACTTATTCATCTGTACAGCGTATAGCGAAACAAAATAAGTTTCATGCTTACAGATACATTTATGTTCAGCACTTGCAGTTTAGTGGTTTTAACGTCATATTGAGTATGTTGCCAAAATAGTTATCAAATTGGAAGAAGAACCGTCATTTTTGTCCAATATATTGTGGACTGATGAGGCGAAGATTTATAATAATGGTACTGTTCATTCGCACAACAGACATTTCTGGAGCGATACGAACCCACACTGTATTTCGCAAAAAAAAACTCAAGTGCGTTGAAGCGTCAATGTGTGGTGTGGCATCATTGACTGTCATATAATTGGTCCTTATTTTTATCAAGATAATCTTAATGCTAGGAAATATTTAGAGTTTTTGAAAAACGATTTACCATCACTTTTAGAAAATTTACCGCTCCAGAAGCGGCTAAATATATTTTGGTAACAAGACGAAGCTCCAGTCCATAATTCGAAAACTGTACATAATTACTTATCTAATACATTTGGTAGTCGATGGATGGGTACGAAGAGCGAAGGTATACCAGATCACCTGATTTAACAGTCATGGATTTTTATTTTTGGGGCTTCCTTAAGAACGAAATTTATAAAACCCCCATAGTTGATGTAGACACTTTAAAAATAGAATAAAACATGTATATTCAAATATACCGGACACGATTTTGAAAAAGGTAACAACTGATGAGGTAAAAAAAAGGTTATCACTTTGTTCGGATACGAATGGACAACATTTTGAGCATTATTACAAAAATAAATAACTTAACTTTTATTTTTTGTGTTGAAAAATCGTATTGTTGACTTAATTTTCACATAGTTTAACTATTAAAATCTGTGATAACAATTATGCACAAGCATTGACGGCTACAGCTACACTCTGTATTAATTCGGCAATGTGTTTATAAAAAATTAAAATATAAAAAAATAGTCAAAAATGTATGTTATAAGACTGTTGCGTGAGTACCACGGTTATGGTTGCTGTGGTTAAATAAATATTCCATAGATTTGATACCATATTATTTACGGTCAACCGTTCGTGCCCAGTATGTTTGAATAGTTCGATAAAAACTATCATATAAAACTAAAACGTAAAGCACATAACCTCAGGCTCCATCAACTCAGACAACTACTAAAATTCAAACTACCCCTTAATATAAAACTCCTCATTTATAAGCAATTAATTCGGCCTTCTATGACCTACGGTATCCAGTTATGGAGTGCAGCAAAAAAGTCAAATATCCAAACCCTTATGTCCTTTCAATCAATAGCTCTTTGCCTCATTACTAATGTCCCATGGTATGTTAGCAACCGAAACCTTTACTACGACTTAAAAATTCCAACAATACCTGATCTAGCTACCCAACTCTATAAAAACTTCCACAACAACACTTTCAATCACCAAAGTCCACTAATATTTAAATTATCTTCCCTCAATCTTTCTGACAACCCACCACACTGCCTTAAGCGTAAATGGCCCAGACATCTTCTCAACCCAAATGTAAATATATAAATAAAAGCCACATCACACACTAGTTTAATAAAACATTAATTTACACATTTGAATAAGTGTCAATGGACGCCCCATTCGATTAAGTCGTCCAGCGTTGTAAATACATTAGCCCTAAATTTTACCTATTGTAATATATACTAATACAGATTGTAAATATTTTCAATTAAAAAAAAAAAATCTTTTATTGGGTCTTCCGTCTGGTTATTGTCGGTTATCGGATAATTCGTACATAAATATTGCGGTCAAAATAAAACCATAAATAAGCATTAATAATAATAATTCTCAACAAATGTGTTTAAAATCGTGAGTTTATTTTAGAATTTATTTATTTTATCTTGCATATGACAAACAGCTGATGATTATAAAGATAATAATGATAATTAAACAACAATACCACATAATAATAACAATAAATAAATATATGCAAAATAAAATAAACTAGTGCAATGTGCAATAATTATTTATTTATTATATAAACTCAAGTGGAATATTTAAATTCTGTTGTAGTTGTGCAGTTAGTGTTTCTGTTTTACTATCAATGTCGTTTGCTTTTACTTGATAAAATTTGTTATTAAATGGTTCGTATTTTACAGTATTTTCGACTTTATCCCCTAATAGTTATTGTACTTCACAAACATCACTATTGTTTGTATGAGACGTGTTTGAAGTCATTTTTAGACTAACCCATATTCCAATCAAAACACAAATCTTTTGAACACGACTCTGGCCACATTTCTGGCCACCCAAAATAAGAAACTCAGCTAAAAAATCAAAAAACAGTTGTTAAAAATAGGCATATTTATCCTATTGGCCATCTTTTTCCTTTTAGTGCACGACACACATGAAGGGTTCAGTGGATAAATGTGTTAACTGACATTTTTGAAATTGTTCAGGAACGCCACTTTTGAAACTAAATATTACACGAAAGCTATGGAACTTTTGTATATTCAATAGACGAAATAACTTAAAAGAGAAAACATATCGGTCTAGAGATCCTCTAAACTATACTATAACACTATAACCCTTTTATTTGTACAATAAAATGCATTTTCAAAAAAAATGTTAGTTAATACCGTTATCCATTGACCCCTTCAAATACTAAACGTAATTAATACAAGTTATACAATTATTTATATAATATGTAAATTAGAAAAAATCTCAGCTTCCTGAAAAAAATTATGTTTTTATTTTTAGTAGCAGAGTCATAAAAATGAGTTTATAATTTATAAATTTTTTTGAGTTGCCAAAAGTTTAAGATTTTTTTTTAGAAAATTGAAAAAATTTACATTAAATATGTAAAATTCATGCCGGAGACCCTACAAATATGCTTAGAAAAACAAAAAACGAGGTGAAAATTCATGGAAAAGTCGAAAAAAGCGACCACAATAATCAATATAATTGAAATAATTATGAGTAAAAATAAGATAATTTCACGTTTAAGATAATTTTGAGTGATCGATAACTCTTTGGGAATAGTTTTCTTTAAAGTTATTAACATAACGGAAGGGAGGGAAAATTAATTTAAAACTAATTATCCAAAACTAGTTCTCGTCCAATAACTTTCAGCAAACTATTCTTGTTGTTAGAGCTCTTGAAAAAAATTTAAATGTTATATAAAATATTATATATGTTAGTAAATATTATAAAATAACAAAAACTAAAGTGTCTCAAAAAAAAAAACCACAAATTTTTAATTAGTTAACAAATATTGGTTGTGTTAAGTAGCCTATAAACTATTCGGTTATTAATGCAGTAAAAAATGTATGTTGTTAAAAATAAATAGCATTAATACTCTATATTTATAATCACCTAGTATTTGGTTAAGTACATGTATTATAAGATTTCCAGTAATTCTCGCCTTTCCAAGTTTGTTCAATTGTGAAGTTTCAATACCTGTATAAATGTATGTATGAGTAACTCGTTTTAAAATATAATAATTATTAATAGATTCGTATTAATTTTAAAATTTAATGTCCTAATAAGTACTGAATGGAAGGAACGAAAAAATATATGGTAATTAGAATATAAGGAGAATTAATGGAGCCCAAAAGGGATGAACAAATAAAATAGAGTACAGCGTTTGTCCGATGATCAACAAAGGTAAAGAAGCTATGTTATGAAAAGTGCGGACAGTGATGTAGTCGTGAGAGGATGCAGTATTTTTAGTAAAAAAGCGATATAGGCAAAAATGTATTCTGTATTCGCTCAATTTTTATCGGGTCCTTTGTTTAAAATAGTGTTAAATTACTACTCCATTTAAGAACCCTTAAATGAAGTCTCCCCAACTTAAAGTCAATTATTGTACGAATAGGAAAATATACAAGGCAAATTTTATTTTTCAAACAAGCCATCAGCTCTATTTACAACTAACTTGTAGCTTTGTAAATTCCATTGTAATTGGCATCATGCGCAGTACGACCTGTAACAAAACAACAAATTAATTATACAGTTAGTCGAACCTGTTTGATATATTTATCCATAACAGTGATAAAAATGAGAATAATATGAACAATTATTAATGAATGCAAAATATAGTATTAACATAGAACCCATGTCTTTTAAGACCCTTTTAGATACCGCATAAGATGTTAAAAAAGTTATTAAGAACTTTTAAACTTTTAAATAAGAAACGTTACTAACAATATGAGTCAAGTATGGATTTTGTCTGTCAAGTTATAAATATTCGTAAACTTAAAACGTCTTGACAACAAATAATTGTTACCTAGTTTATAATTATTGTATTTAAATAAAATGTTAAAAAAGTAAATACACCGTTCAAAATATATTAACTAATTTATAATACATTAATATAATAGTCGATCTATGTATTTAATTATACCCAAATAAATTGTACTTTATTGTAATTACTGTATCAATAAAGCCATAAAATATATTTATAACTAACGAATAATTTTGTAATTACTTGTGCTTGTACTTGAAACAGCAGGCAGAGGAATTTCTGTAACATAAATATAAAACAATTAAACACTTATTTGAACCCAGTTGTTATATTTACACATAACAGTCACTCTAAAAATAAAATTACTAAGACCAACTAATCGAAGCTAAATGTATTATTAACATAAAATAACTAGCAACGTTTGAATAAAAGCCTTTAACACTCTACATTTTATAATAATATATTATGGTCAAAATTGTGTATACAAAAAAAAAATATAAAAAAAATGTTATCTTTTAAACATGCAATAAGTTTTATTTACTACTAACGAATAACATTGTATTTACGTTGCTTTTCATTATCATGCGGAGCACAACCTGTAACAAAAAAAACATTTCAATTATATAGTTAATCAAACCCGGTTTGTATTTATTATTTTGGTATTTTTTTATAACAGTTTCAATTAATCAATGCTGAATAAAGTATAAATATAGAGCCGCTATTGCCCCCGCCCCCCCCCCCTACTCTAGAAACAAATTTAAATGTGTGTGTAATACTATAAAATAAATAAATTAAAGTATCTATGAATAAAAACCACAAGCTATCAATATAGTTTTAAAAAATTTGATTGTGTTATCCATAAAGAATCATGCTGTAATAAAAAGTAACATCTTTAAAATTGTAAATTTATATTTACCTACCTAACATTTTACAACCTTGTTTAAGATAACTTTTCGCCAATCCTCCAAGTTTGATGCCTTTTGTAGTTTCTTTACCTTAAAATAATATAATACAACTATAAAATCATATAATTATATATAAGATTGTTAAAATTACAATATTCAAAATTATATTTGTATTTATATATGATATTGATATTAAAAGTCTTTATACGCATTTATTACACAAATAACGCATAAAAAGTACAATATATGAAGAAAAATACACAGTTTAATAAGAAGTATAATACAAAGATAGAAAATATATGATATGTAACATTAAACAAAACAGAAAATTACAATAAAAATAACTTGAGCTAAAAATAAGTATAAACAAGAAAATTGGCACTGTGCAATTTGCTATGAATACGATGGTTGCGACCAAAGGAAAATGTGATAGTAATAACACTATTTTCTTATTCATTTTATGTTTTGTGTTATCCCTCATACTATTATATAACAAATAGGCGACTAAGAAAATTCTATATTTCACTTACAAAAGATACTGTCTACTCAAAGTAAATTAAAATTATTTACATGTCTAATAAGTTCGGTGAATTTAACAAAAAAAAAACGATTGACTGACACCAAATGTCGTCTACATTTATATACATACATATATGATATGATTCAACCGTCTCTTCAAAAACATATCTAACAACAAAAACTATTATCCTATTTTATCTGTCAGGTCATAAGTGTTTGTTAACATAAAAAGTGATCCATCTATTACGTAAAAAATTGTTTTTTGTGGTAAAATGTTAAAAATTGATAACAAAATAATGTATAAAGAGCATTTGATTGTTCAATAAAATCATAAGTTTTTTCTATTACTAATGAATAACTTTGTAATTACTTTGGTTACTCTCATCAGCCACCGGAATACCTGTAAAAACAATTTTAAAAAATAATTTAGTTATTCAAACTCGGTTTGCTGTATTTATTATCCATAACAGTTTCAATTAATCAATTTCAAATATAGCGATAATATTAATTAACTATTGAATAACTTCGTATTTACTTTTAGGTTAATCAGCAGCGATACCTGAAACAAGAATTTAAACAATATTACAGCTACTTAAACCAAGTTGTTATATTTATCCATAACAATTACTCAAAAAATAAAATAACTTTGACCAATTAATTAACGCAAAACTTTTTATTAACATAAAATTAATCTCTATCAAGTTGCAACGTTTGGAAAAATGCATTCTTCATAATTAATTGTATAATAATCTAGTTTTTTTATGTGTATTAATTCTGTCTTTCACAAAAATTCTTGTGAACTATTATTCCTTGATGAACCTAAATGTTTTCCGTGTACATTAAAATTGTGTAAAATTTGTTTGAAATACCAATAAATGTACTAATCTAATATTTTTGTAGATTGTTTGCTTTCACGCTTAATAAATTGTTTACTAAAAATATTCACCTATAATATCGAATATTTTCGGCAAAGTATTTTTTTCTGTCATTATGGTTTCTAAATTTAAAAAAAATATAAACATATATTATGTACATATTTTCGCGTATTAAAAACTAATATTGTAAATGTAATTCTTTGTGAAGCATTATTAATATTGAATTTGAAATACATAGAAGTAAGAATTGATTACCTTGTAGAAGGTTTTAGTTGTGAGTTTCTGCAAGTTCTGAAATTATAGCGTTAACGTTGTATACATAATGGTTATTAAAACTCTTTTTGTAAATTATTTGATTTCACGCTTAAAAATTGTTTACTAAAAGTATTCACCTATAGTTTCGAATATTTTCGGTTGCAAAATATATTTTTCTGTCGACATGGCATCTAAATTTGAAAAAAAAAATAATCTCGTATTTATTATTTTGTAATAGAAACCAATATTATACATATAGTTCTGTGTGAAGCATTATAAATATACAATTTAAAATATAGGTATGTGTAAAATATAGGTTAATATGGTAATTGTTTACGTTGTAGAAATTAATATTTGTGTGTATCTGCATGTTCTGAAATTAAAGCGAAAACTTTGAATATTTAATGATTACCAAAAGACTGCGAGGAAATATTATTAAGGAATTATTACCCGGTACAGTGAACATTTGATTATAATTCTCTGACATTAGCAACACAAAAATTAATCGTAGTGAATTTAATTTTCTATTTTATCAAAAACTAAGTAGAAAAGTTAAAAAAAAAAAATATTTGTATTTGTTATTAGGAACAAAATACTTAGCTCTATTATATTAAATTCATTTGAAACCTAATGACATGACAACGACTAAACTTAATTATATGGGGGGGGGAGGGTAGAACAAGGTTTATTTTACCTTGTTAAAATAAGATTATTTTTACTCAACATTAGCGTTAACTATTTTAATATCCTGGACTTGCTATTATGCTTCAATCAACTAAATAACTACGAAACCTTTTTCCAGGATGGCGATGCTTGGGACGTGTTACAGTGTGTAAAACGCAATGACGGTGAAAGGGTTAAAGATACATTTTTGTTTTTTTTTATATACATTTATTCTAAAACTAAGTTTTTAATTTTGTTATCACCTAATTATTATTACTCATTTTATAGTGTTCTACATCTATCATGACTGTGAGTACATTCTCCAATCCCTCTAGAACAAACAAATAAAGGTTTGACCAAAAGAAAAGTTCCAAATAAAATCAAAATGAACATCAAAATCATTTAAAAAAATACACCATACTTTACCGACTACCCCTCTTGGGGTAAATTGTCAATTTCTAGAGTCAGATGTGCTCATAGTAAATTATAGTAACTTTAAGTGAAGGCTCGTGGCCATGTGCAATAGTGCACAGACTCAATCGAGAATATTAAACTACCACTTTAAGAAGATGCTACTACTCTCATGTTTTTGGAAACACTGTACCATGAATGCAAACTCATATTTTAATACCATAAAAATGCATGGATAGCATCCTCTAAATTCTTAAATAAATTTATATTTAATTTACAAATTATTGGACACTTAGTCAATCATTGCACAACAACTATATATTAGTGTATTAATTATTACCTTACTTTCAAATGTATTATTTTCATCTGCAGTAGCTTTCCGGAGTTGCAAGTCTGTAGTAAATGTTTTTAAAAAATAGGTATGGATGAAATTCGCAAAATTTAAGAAACACAAATTTATTCTGTACGACTATAAAATGTTACTAACTTGAAATTTCAACCATCTCTATGTAGTCCACTGTAAAGAAAAGTTAAATATTATTTTTTTTTCGAATTTTATCTACCCTGTGATGGTAAGTATGAAAATAAAATACTTACTTATACTTATATCTGCCATCGATATGACATTTACGCAGATTAAGGATATCAAAATGTAGGAAGTTTTCATTTTCATCTGGAAAGATAAATGTTAGGATAATTCGAGTTAATTTCAATTACTTGGGTGGAATTTTTTTAAAATATATGATATAGTTGAATCGTGTGTATTTTGAGACGGTGTAGTTAGAGGTCGATTCATAAAAAATACAGGTTTCACCTAAAGTCAGTTAGATGTATTTATTAAAAATAATACGCAAACATTTTTATGATTTAATAGAAATAGAACAATGTTTTGGACGGAAAAGTCCTTAGAAAATTAACTATATATATATATATATTTAGCTTCGATGCGAGGCTGAGAAGGTATTGTTTTTACAATAATGTGTTTTCATTTTTTTTTTTTTTTTTTTTTTTAGTCTGGACCCACGATATCTCGTAAACCGCTGAACCGATTTCTTCGTATAGCAACTCTATAGATCAGAAATCATACCTGGAAGGTACTTTATCAGGCTAAAAATTAAACATTAACAAACCAAAAAAGTATCATAATCATTTTTCCATTGAAAGGATAGAATTTTTTTCTTTATTTCACTTTTTCAAGCAAAGTTGTAGAGATTTAGATCTGAAAATTAGACCATAGGTAGAACTAAAATCTGTAGTCAATTTTTTTTTTATTAAGGAAGAACTCCAAAAATAGGGTAAATTTACACTTTAGCCGTAGTCAGTTTCTAGGTTGCTATGTGTGTGTGTGAATCATCAGTCAACAGGTAATGAAAATATTTTCATTATATTGTTAGTTATGATATATGGATAACTATGACAGTATTTTTATAGACAGACGATCAACCCTAATCGTATCCACCCAGCACAAGACTAAATATTAAATTTTAAGTGTATTATTGCTGGTCTTCTAAACCACTATAACTAGTTTGAACATACTATCCACAGATTCCCAAAAATAGTGAACTTTGTGCTTATTAAAACTTATACATGGATTAACTACGAACAATGAACTTTATCTGACTACTTTTATTTTTTCGTTTGGCAATTATCTGACCATTATTAAATCATAAAGAAAAAAACTAAATGTTATGATTACCTTTCATAACTTATTTAGAACTAATCAGAATGCCAAGCCAACTTATTACAGTTTTTTTTTTTAAAGTTAAATATGAAAAACAGCTTGAACTTGAATTGTATTTTAAAGATACAAAATCAAAAATTCAAATACAATTTCGGCAATACCGTAAAATAAAAACATATTTCGCAGTGCAACGTTGTTATTTTATTTACAAAGCTGTTTTTTAGCATTGATGCTGAGCTAGTGTAATCCTATTACATGTGTTTTTTTTGTATCCGGAAACACGATAACATACGCAACATAGTCATTGTTCGTTTTGACTAACATACTTACATTATTCCTAAGCGTAGTTTAAACGTTTTTTTAACCAGTTATTGAATTTACAAAAACAAAAGCCATCGTAAAAGCGGCTTTTTAAACTTAAATGGTAACGCATATATTCCATAAGCTTTTTAAATTTAGAAAACGTTCAAAAAATTTGAATGGTTGATAACCAGTTTTGGACAAGCATTTTGAAAGTGATGAGAGTTTAGAAAACAGGGCGGAAAAACAAGTGGGTCCCCAACCCACTTCTTTTCCGGCAGTTAAAAAAAATATCACACTCTACCTTTCCTCCTGCCCCGATAAAAAAATAACCTTGTATATAATATATATTAGTTAACTTGTATGTATTGTAACGT